CAGTCAGTCAGTCAGTCAGTCAGTCAGTCAGTCAGTCAGTCAGTCAGTCAGTCAGTCAGTAAGACGGTCATTCGCCCCCCTGCTACCTTAATTTCAACAGCCTAAGTAGCAAAGCTTCACACCGCATCTTACCAACCTTGGCATTGATGCTCAATCGGCCACGTTTGTTGTGTGGCATGTTTCATGCTTTTTTATTGTGTGTTCATCGTCTACTCGCATAACTCATGATCTTATCATCATGATCTATCATAAATTATGGTGACAGCAGAAGAACAGCCTGGATCACATCTGCCAAGGAAAGGCGAAAAACACTGAACCGCAAAAATTCGCAACGTGTACCGTGCATTGGTTCGTCTAATCTATAAATGGAGGAGAAATGCGACTGCAACACAGTTCACAGGACAGTTACAGTTCTTGTCAAGGAGGTTCCTCAGGGGAAACTCGTTGTCTGTTCATGCAGCTACAAGTTCGATATTTCCACTAAAGAGTGACATCTACAGACGAAACTTCTGCGCCGAGCCGAAGTCCTGAAATTCATGCAGTCTAGAACATCGTAACAATAAAGCTTATTCGAATCATACGTCTAATTCTTTCCATTCTTTGAATGAACAATTTCAGCAAATAATTATGGATTCTGAACGACCTGGCAAGTTGACATGTTTATGTTTACACGTAAGAAGACAGAATTTTCTACGTTAGTTTTTCGTCAGCAGCAAAAAACGCTTCGAAGCGTGGACGAAATCTTTTAAGCGCAATAACGCAGTTTCGGCAATCGAAAATAGTGTTTCGAAACGGTGTAAATCCTTGACGTGTTTCTACCGACGAATCATCATCATCATCTTGTTCTTCCTTGACCGGTTCTACTTTCGGATCGCGGAGGCAACCGCGTCGCGTCAGATTCTACTGACGAATTCGAATGCTCTAAGAACGTTCTCCGGAGAATGCTCTGAGATGGACCATCTTCAGAGTTAACAGAAGTGACACACTTAGTTTTGAAGGACGAGAACATGGGTTATGACGACGAGACTAATTACATGCCTACCATGCGCCTTCCAACGACCTGAAAACTACTGATGTTTATAGTAGGCAGTGCAGTTTACGAGTATTTCCATGCGAACAATATACTTCCTGAACAAAAGGACCAACGGATGAAAACAAAGGATTTCAAGAAGCCGTTACCAGTGGATGCTACAAGGTGCTACATCGGGACTGCAAAATGAAAAAGATCAACTTCTACTTGGCCTGGACTGACCTCAGAAACACGTCTGATCTAATATCACATAGCCGAATATGGGAATGAGCCAATCATGATAACTTTACATTCGCAAACAACATCGACATGCAATAAATTCTATCGATCGGTGAAGATCAGTCGAGCAATCTTTCAAGGAGACTCAATCACATCACTTAGATTTTGTGTGGCATACAATCCTCTCGGACACTTGCTGAACAATACCAGGAAAGGAAAGAATACGAGACAAAGGACGGCGATGAAATATCGTACCTGCCATATATTCACGAGCTGAAGCCGCATGCGAGTTGGATAATCTCATCCAAAGCACTCAAATCGTTCCGGGAGGCATCAGAGCGGAATTTGGTTTGGGTAAGTGTACTGGTGTCGAGATCAAGAAAGGCAAGCTGTAGAAAAGCAACGGAGTAAAGCTGTCAGTTGGTAAAATAAACAGCTTGGAAGAAGGGCAGATACCTTGACGCGCTACCAACTTGACAGTATATTACATGAAAACTTTCAATTAACGGTAAAGGCTGGATCCGGCGAATTCCAAAGAACAAGTTGTGCGGGAAAAACAAGATCGTCGCCTATTAACCGGCATCAGTGCTGGCTTATGGAGGAGCAATCATCGAATGGACGCAAGTGGAAAGGCTAGAATTAGACCAAGAGACATGAAGGACCTTGAACATGTAGGGGATAGCATATCCAAAAGCAGATACGGGTAAACTATATGTCTCGCATAAAAAGGAGGAAGAAGGCTTGGCACTGCCGAAGTTACGCTGGAACAAAAGACGTAATCTCAAAGGCAGTATCTGGTAATGGCAGTGAACGATAGGGTGCTGACGGCTGTAACGGTTACCGGCATGTACAAACTAGAACAGAAAACATCTGGAAGGGAACGACACCGCCAAGAAAGGTGGAGGCAACGTTCGATACAGGGTCTGCGAAAGAAACAGCTTCATGGAGTGTATTTTCGCAACGGGATCAAGAGATGGTCGTAAAACAGACTTTCAAGTGGCTATCAAGAACCGGAGTCCATAGCGAAACGGAAACCTTTCCAATGATCGCTGAAGACAAAGCAATGAACCCGAACCCATATAAAGCGAAGATACTGCACATGTAGCCAGAAGCACAGTACAGACTGTATCAAGTGAAGCATGCAAACCACTCACGAATCGAGCATACAAGTAACAACAACGTTGCGAGGATGGTGCACTGTGATCCGATTTACCGATGGATGAAACAATGGTAGAAACATCAGCCGAACGCGGTGGAAGACATGGAGCAAGTAAAAATTCTTTGGGACTTCTCATTACGAACTGAGAGAGAAATATTGGTCAATCGTCCGGATATCCTGCCGACAGACTAAGCAAAAAGTCGGGTACAAATCACTGATATAGCATACCAGGTTGACGGTAAGCCTGATGTTAATTGGAGAGAAAACATGCTGAAATATCAAAAACTGAGGATCGAAATGCAGATTTGCGTAGTAGATGCGGTAGTCATCCCTGTAGGTATCGATTCCTTCGGAGCAGTGGAAAAGGTCATCAACACCTACTAAAAACAGCTGGTGAAGCGATCGCGGTGGAGAAAATGCAGAAGAGGAACGTTAAAAGGGAAAAGTCAAGATTTTAAAAAGGGTTCTTCAGCTTCCTAACGTTCAATGGAGGATCGAACTCAAGTAATGTTTACACAACTCGTATTATGTGACTGGAATAAAAGATGAAGCTTTAATGGTTCTATACACAAGCAATATACATACGGAAAGTCCAGATTAAAAGTCTCCACTTCCAGCTCAAGTGCACTGACTCTCATCAAAACAAACAATAAAATGGCTACGATATTTGATAAAGACTTTACATGTCTATTTCTTGAGTCCATAGTCAGTGAAATATCAATCTTACTGAAAACGGCAGAATTGAAACGAGTCTAAGAAATAATCGTAACACTCGCAACGTGTATTTGTAAGCCGTGATGCCTTGTTACTCCGTTGATCAGAGGCACGCGTCAGTATCGAATATTATTTAATATAATGCATATGGTTTCGGTCGACGACCGTGCGTACGACTTTTCGAAGCTTTCGCGAGTTCAGACGAGTAAAGATTGTCGGATTTAGCGACGCCGTCGCCCGATCGCGTTTCGTTATGATCATTCGCTTTCGACTTCACTCCTCCGAACGTTCGCTGCGCGAAAGAAAAGTCCGAGGAGAATATTTTATGCGCCGCTCGCTCGCTTGTACTCGAACCGAACCTCCGGATCGAGTGAGTAACGGTTAAGCGGTCACATGGTGCCGAGAACAAGCGCCACATATCGGCCGCTGCTACCAGGACACCAGAACCGGAAGAGTGACATGACGAAGCGAAGTCTCTGTAGGCACGCCGTCGAGCAGAAACGCTACCGTCGCGCTAAGAAAACACATACTTGGCATGACGACGTTGGGGCAACACGAAAAAAAACAGAAGCCGAACAAAACAAGACTACAGAAAGACAACAGTCGCATTACAACTTACCAACTTCTTTCAGAGAATGGACGTCGGTCGACAGCTCAGCCAGTAGACAAAACACCAGCAACGCGGCTGCGATAATCGATTGGCGACCGAGGGCCATTGCAGCGGCAA